TAGAATTTGTATCAATTTAATAAATTATTTATCACTTTAATGAATTAAATTTATTACTATTGATAAATACTTTTTCACCTAAATAAAATACATTATTAACTAATAAAAAATATATTGCATGCATGCAAATTGGAAGATTCTAGCTGTCATAGTTTTTGGCTGTATGGTGCACGTCGGTTAATCTGTTAGGGTTATAGTGTAGATGACTAATTAATCATAATTACTTAATGACGCATCTATTAACGCCAAAATCAATCTATTCACCATTCAGATAATAATGAATATATATTAAAAGTTTCATGAAGATTGGTCGAATAGTTTTGAAGGAAACAGCAATAACGAATTGCGTTGAATTGGGGTATAGAAGGGCTACGCTTCGCTGCCCCTAATTATTGTTGAATTATCTTTTTTGTGGGTCAATACTTTTACGAACAGAATAGGTATGTATTTTATTTCATTATRTATTTGTATTAAGTTCTTTTAAAGCTAAAGAATCAAGTCTATATGGCACTATTTGAAAAGGAAATATTTCTTATAATTTCTCAGTACCTATGTGTGAAAAACTACTGACAACTAGTTACTATAGCGTCAACAACTTTAAATTAAAATGTGTTAGTTTTCATGCAGCTTATGGCAAATTTCATTAAGTATGGATATTTTACCAACTTCTACTTATCCTCGTTTTATTGAATGATATCAAAATATAAACCAATTTCATATTTATAGTACTTTTTATTTTATTTGTTACTCTAATAGTATCCACGAAAACCTATAATATAGCCGTTATATTTTAATATTAGTATAAAAAATAATCAAAATAACTAAATATTAAATAGTAAATTAAATTGCATTAAATGTGTTAAATTAAGATGATRTATTCAAAGTATTTTTACATACTTAAATTATTTGTGTTTTAAACCATTAAAAATAATTATATTTTATAATGGTAGCCATAGACATTTAAACAAAAATAATAAACTATAATCGATAATATTCGATCTTTTATATTGACACTAAATAGAATGATGATAATTGCCTATGACATATAGGAAGGTAGAGATAATTATAACATAATATATTAGAGTTATTATGTAATCTCCCAACTATATGCTATTCGCAAAGAAACAAGCAAGTTACAAGTGAATGTATCTATTTACGTATATTAATTAGGGCGTGTTTTTGATAACTCAAATTATTATTTGTTTTATTAGTTCCCCAATTCAACAGCTKTTAAATGAACAATGTTATTCAATAGCAAATATAACAAACTTACATATTATTACATTATAAACACATACATGTTATAATATAAATATTAATCTTGTGGTCGAATAAAGCCCGAAGCTTATTTTATGGAAATTGATAAAATGTCAAACTTGTAGTACCTAATGTAATTTTTTGAAAGTATTATTTAAGATGAAATAAATAAGTATGGTATTTATCTTGTATTATACAACTTATATTATAATAGATAGCTATTACTATATATTATAATTTTACAAATTGTAATATAATTGATTAAATTTCTTCAATTCATAAAAATGAACATGTGGGTTTGAAACCATATATATTCGGAAGGTACATAATTTTCTA